AATGAGCAACTTAATCTTAAAAAAACTACCGCTCAACAGGCTAAAGCACAAAAGAAGAAATACGCAGACAAACTTAAAGAAGTGATGGAGAACGAAAATAAATTTGGTGATAATAAGGAATAAGCCGAGAATTCCATTAAATTGTTAGTTGCTTAAAAGGCTGATTTACTGAAAAAACTTAAGAAGGAGAGAGCAATGAAACAAGAGGCTGATAAGGAAGACTTAAAACTAAAGTCACTGATTTCGAAGCAAAATTTACAAAAGTTGCTGCTTTATTTGCGTTAATTGAAAACAAAATGTGAAACAGAATTGGAAGAAATTGAAACAGAGAAGGAAAAAGTACAGAACGTTATAGCTAAAGCCCAGAAACCAGAGAAATAGTATGCCAGTAAGATTGAAGAAGTGAAAAGATAGCTAGCATAGTTATCTCGTTATGTGTGAATTGTTTTAATGATACTATGTGTATTTCATGTCCCTCTGGATTTTATTTGACAAGTGAACATACATGTAAAGAAGTTAATTTATTACATGAGACGTGTGATATGTTAATGTCAGATGCTATTGGCAGTGATCTGTAAAGTTGGGTATTACTACATTTCAAAAGACTGTAAACAATGTGACACATCATGCTATTTCTGTTTAGACGACAAACAGTGTGTGTCGTGTGCAAAAAATACTTTAGGATAGCAAATGAAACAATGTTGTGTCTTCCATTCAACGAACTGACTCAATTTTGTCTTAAAAAGACCAAAAATGGGTGCGCCAGTTGTCAAACGGGATATTTCTTCTCAAACGGTCGATGCTCAAAGTGTTTCGAAACTTGTTTAAAGTGCACTTCAATGACTTATTGTTCCGAGTGCTCCGACAATTATGTAAATATTGACTATACGTGTCACCACCATTCTATAATTCAATATTGCACAGCTGCAACAAATGATCGATGTACTAAATGTAAATCTGGCATGCAACTGATGACAGTGGGTCTTTTTGCAAGACTGCAAAGTGCTATGATATTATATTTGGGACAATTGTAGGTGTTGTAATATTAATAATTCTTGTTATAGTTATAGTAATAGTAGTAGTGTTGTGTTACCAAATTAATCTTCACAACAAAGAAAAGAAAAAGATGATGAATGTCTAAGTTTATAATATAAAAAAATCAAATGTACCTTTGCAAAATCTTGGTGACTTTTAGTTGAGATATAAACAAATTATTACATTTGAAGTACTCAATGAAGACAGTTTGATAGAAGTGAATGAAGAGACACGTGAACTGCTGTGTGTTGGAAATAACACTAATCACACAATAAAAGTCCAATTCAGTGTTGTTGACAATTACAACTAATTTTTGATACGAACTGAGCCAACTTTAGTTACTCTTGAAAAGGGATTTGCGTGTGATTTTGAGATTTTTATTAAACCCGTTTGCACGTGTGTTATCCATGAAAATATAGTAGCCATTGCACTCGACTTGGAAACAGGAAAACAAATTGATGAAAAAATAGAAGTGAGTGCTGTGACAAAAATGACAACACGACTGGACTACATTGAGTTGATAGAAACCAAGAAACTTGGGGAAGGTTCTTTTGGGATTGTCTACTTGTGGGAGTTCAGAGGTGATAAAGTTGCTATCAAGAAGATTAAACAATCTTCTGATGATAAATCAAGTAAAAAAAATTCGAAGATGAAGTTTCTATGTTAGACAAATTTAGAAGTGAATATATTGTCTACTTTTATGGCGCCGTGTTTATACCAAACAAAGTGTGTTTGGTCACCAAATTTGCTCAATTTGGAAGTCTACAAAATTTGTTGAAAAACAAAACTTTAAGTGAAATTGACATGAAATTACGACTCAAATTCATGTTAGATGTTGCTATGGGCATTATGTATTTACATGAGAATGGAATCTGACACAGAGATATAAAGCCAGACAAAGCTTTGATATTTTAATTGAATGCGTCAGAAAAAGTGAATGCAAAACTGACTGATTTTGGATCATCAAGAAACATTAATATGATGATGACGAACATGACATTTACTAAATGTGTTGGAACACCAACTTACATGGCACCGGAAGTTTTAAAACAAGAAAAGTACAAAAGACCGGCTGACGTCTATTCATTTGCAATGACTATGTATGAGTGCTTTGCATGGAGAATTGCGTATAGTGATGTTGAATTCAAATTTCCATGGAAAATAGCCGAGTTTGTTTCATTAAGAAAGCGTCTCGAAAAGCCAGATTATGTTGATGTAAAAATGTACAATATCATTGTGTTGTGTTGGTAACAGCATCCACTTGAAAGACTAAAAATAGAAGAAGTTGTTGCAATGCTCCATGAACTATTTTAATTGATTATTAAACTTGATTTGGTTTTTTGGTAATATATTTATATTTTATCGTGTTTTAATCAAAATAATAATTCAAAGGAAGAAGCTTAGTGCTATAAAATTTAAAATGTGTGTGCGTGTTATGTCAGAATAAATTTATTTTTAAAAATAAAACATGTAAAAATTATTTTTATCAATACAAAACTGCGCAAGTAGACTATTTTAAACATTAAAAACTTGGTGTGCTCTGTATTAAAAAGATCTTTTTCTAGAAAAGATGTGTGTATGGTGGAGAATGATAAGTTGAAAAAGTTTAACTTAAATATGTTTATTAACAATGTTAAAAACACTTGATAATGAACAAAATAATTAAATGTGTATAACCTTCAAGAAAATGGGTTTTATTAACTAAAAATAATGTTTTGAACACAAAAATAATAAACAAAATAAATAAATACACAACACAAGCCAAAAATGAAAATTATCAAAATATGAAATAATATCAATACCAATCAAAAACAGGTCGATTAAAAAAGCAAAAGAGTTATTTTAAGTGTTGATGAAATATCAAGTGAAGTTTTATATAGGCATAACCAAAAATTTGTTTATGCCTATTTATCTAACTATTAAAGCACTTGTAAAAATTAAAATGTATATAATTTTAATTTTAGATTGAATAAATAATAATAATAAACATCAATTATTTATATTAATAAATGTTAATAATAAAGAATCCAGTGCAATTGATGAATTATTGAGACATGCCAATAATCTCTTTAAGTGCGTCTGGGCTTCCAGGCGCCTTCTTAGCGACTTTCTGGTCTTGGAAGAAGACGAAAGTCGGGAGTGAAGTGACTTGGTATTCAGCAGCATACTCAGTTGCTGTAGTTGCGTCAACCTTAAAGAACTTGAGATTTTTGTGTTCTTCTGAAAGTTTTTCCAACATTGGAGCACTCGCTTTGCATTGTGCGCATTCAGGCGAATAAAAGACTACAAGAACATTCTTGTTGTTTGCAATAGTCTCTTTGACTAAGGCGACGTCTGTTGTGTATGTCACTGGCATGTTGATTGATTGTTATTATTGTTTTTCAAATCAGATTATATTGACTGAGAATTGTTCTAGCCACACTTTTGCTTTGTTTTTACATTCTGGTCTTTTGGAAACAATTCAAATTGTTATTGTAATAGTATTTTTGATTATTTGTTATAAATAAAATATACATAAGTTCTATAAATATAACAATTTGAAACAAAATTGTAAAACACTAATTTCCACCTATATTCTACACATTGTTATTATTATAGTTTTTATATTATTATTGATATAAAGTGGTGAAGAAATAATACAACATTGATATTACATTTCTCAATTGGAGTTTCAATAACTTATTTATAAAGAGTTGATAAATATGTAGCAGTTAAAAAATGTGTTGTTATATGAAATTGTATCACCAAATATCTGCGACAACAAAATATATGAATATTTTTCTTTTTACAATTAAATAATTTAATGTTATTAAATTATTAAAAACAAAATTTCTTATTTTGTTATTGAATTGTTTTTAATAAAAATATGAATAATTAAAGAAATAATAAACTCATATTAAAACAACAATAATGACTACATAAAGCGTCACAGTAACTTTTCAAGCATTTCTTGTAATGGTCATAAATTAAATTGTGAACGTTTCTTATTATTTTGAAACATTTGAAATATTTAATAATATAATATATATATTTTATAATTTTTTGTTGAATTTACTGGAAATATTTAAAACTAA